CCTGAATTATTAATGACCCAGATTGAACACAAGTCTGCACAGCTACCCTGTTTCGCCACAATACATCAGCAAGAAAGTCAGTTTATATTCCTGATGACAAATTCTTGTTGCTAAAGATCAGCGTGTCACTGAGCTGAAAGAAAAGCAGAGTTAAAAGATGTTTAGACTATTTTGACGCCAAAACAAAGAATGGATTTAACAACCATACAGGAGATATGGCCAGGCTGAGCCACATATCTAAGATCAAGTCTTGAAACAAAGTTGAGACTGAGGGGATCAGCAAAACAATTTTTGGGACTGGGTATGGAGAACATATTCAAGTTGGCAATGAATACATGTAGCAGAAACCTTGTCAGGCACAGGGGTGAAAAACCAAAATGAATTTTAAATGTTTCAATACAGGCGATTCACAATAAATTGCACCACCAAGAGTTTGCTGCAGATAAGCCGCTTTTCAAATTTATTGTCAATACTCTGCGACGCTGTATGAATTTTTACACGGTCTCGGGAGCGGACTCACCAGGCGAGTCCGTATCATTTCTCACGGTTACAGAGCCCTGAGTCCGTCCTAAAGGTATATTAATGCTTCAGTGGTTGTCCCCTAGCCTCTACAGCTCTTAAAAACCACCAAAAGTATATTACAGTACCGTGGGGGCCGTTTTCCCAAGCTATCCCGATTTGAGGGGGGGTTCGCCACGCGCCAGCCAAGCCACACCACCACCACAACACCCCCCGTAACCAAAATAACACTCCAAAGACAGCCGAAAGAGGCCTCTGACAAGTTCCAGACAGCTGTCACTGATAAGAAACATTCCACTGTCTGCCCCAGGCACTGTTTTGTAAATAATCCGTTAGATTGTACACAAGGGGCCACTTAGCACACAGTCCTATGGGAATGTGTTGGAGGCTGGCTGGCTGGCCTTGTACAAGTAATGAAAACTTATGCCATGGGAAATTCATTCTATATCATTGGCATTCTTCTAGAGTGTTTAAGGTTAAATAATTGTTCTTTTTCCAGTTTTAGTCTCTTCTCAGCTTGCTTAAACATTTATACATTTCATTTATGTTTCTTCAATCAGTGACACATACTGGGGATCTACATGTACAAGAGGGAAGTTCATCTCCTAATTAACTACATGTATAACTTAAAAAAAGGAGTAGAAGTGAAAACAAGCCAAAGAAACATGCATAAATCCATTGAAAACCTGAATTTTAGCATTTTGGAGGTAATGAATTATGCAATTGACCTCTAAATTAATTATTAACTGCTGGAATCTTACATAATAGTGGGAGAATACATAGTTGATTAGCCTGCCTCATCTTTACGAAAAGAAATAAGTCATCATGGAGATATGGCAGAAAATTTGATGTTATTTGTGATTTTCTTGGTGTCGTGGCCATAATAACGAAAAACAAAGGATAACCTTTGACCTCTGAGCAGAAAATTAAGCCCATTGTCCGTCATTAAAATGTGTTTATCTTTTGAATCCCTAGGGTTATTTCAAAATTTTTTTCAGTTTCTGAATGCCATGGTCTTTCATACTGGCTTAGATTAAGAGCCTTGCATTATAAGCAAAAAAAATGAAGGAGAATGCCCACTGCAGGAAAGGGCGACAGCAAAGATAGTACAGCGCCGCCAAGATGGGCCACTGTGTACTAAACGCCACTGATCTCTGTAAACGCCCATTGGCTGAGTGTAATACGTCATGGAGCGCAGCACTGCCATTTCAGGAAGCAAATCTCGCCTACTTATACCCAGCAAGAAATGAGACCGAGGGGTACGCCCCCCCCCAACATGTCCAATCCCTTTACACATTCCAGACTATTGTTACTT